ACATGCATATATCATCATCCATCATGATGGGGAGGGGAGGGGGTTTGGCAATCATTGCACGGGTGGAGCATTACTTTTTCTCAGGTTGCCAGGGATGTGAACACTATGCCTCATGGATGTATGTTTGTGAGGGGATGAGCGATGCCATCCTCACCAGCACATCACACATCTCATGGGGGTTCGTGGTGACCATCTATGGATAAACTCAAACACCCATCATTCCCGCTTGACTTTTTCTAAGATGAGGGGAGGTCGATCATTCCATCAGGAGTATCGTAAACAACAAGGAAAAGAGGGGGGAGGAAGAAAGGAGGGAGCGGGAGAAAAAAAAAAAAAAAAAAAAAAAGAAAGAAAGAAAAAAGAAAGAAAAAAAAAAAAAGGAAAAAGGAAAAAGAAAGAAAAAAGAAAAAATGCATAGAAACGCAAGCAATCCAGAATGAGGCAATCATCACAGCAAATTTAGGACACTATAGCATATGCGCAAACTGAATGTCATTTACAAGATCATGCATCCCACACGTCATTGTCCCTTCATCCAATAGCACAATTTTTCGTTGAGAGGGCCACAACAATGTCAAACCAAGAACATTACCTACTCCTACAAAGTTCTCCCATAGAAGGTAGGGGGGCGAGAAGATACAGTGCATGCATCGCAGTCCAGCCAAAGCGTGAAAGTGCAAGCTAGTTGCTGCCAATCTACACGCATGCAGGAGGGGGAGGCAGTCCCTGAAGCGCTTTTCATCGCTCGCCACGTGATTCATCAGAGGGATAACCTGCAAACACAATCAGTCCGGGTATGCGCTGGAGGGGGTTGCACAGGGATGGAGCAGATGAAGAATAGAAATGCCAAGTAGCGCTAGGAAGGCCGCAAAACAAAACGCAATTATTTCCCAAGTATCCCCCCTGCCATCCGCCAACCGAAGAGGAGGAGCATCCCACGCTCCCCTATCCTTATCCATGCTTGGCAGCATAGAAGGGGGTGAGCTGGAGGAGGAGGATAAAGCAGCGCGAGGTCGACGCAGGGGGATAGACGCAGAGATTGAGATAGACGGGGGAGGAGAGAAGCGTTCAATTCCAGGGAGGGGGGCATGACCGCCTGTACTCGAAAGACACAAAGTTTGGCGATGGAGTCGCCCGGTCAGAAGTATACTGTGTCCTCTGCCTGTGGCTGCTCCCGGATGTAGTCCGGATCCACTGGGAAGTCCATCGCCGCTCGTAGGTCGCTCTGACGAAACAGGAGGAGATCACTGCCTCTCCGCACACCCGCCCAGGCCGATACCACACAATCCACTGTACACCACTTCGCCGGAATCGTCCCAACACCACCTCCCCTATCCCTGTGGTAGTAGCTACCCGCCGTAGGTGCGATGCTATTCGTTCCGCACGAGCCACCAACCAAGCTCATATACAACACATGCCTTGTGAATAGTGACAGTCCGTCCCCTGCTTAAGTAGGCGGTATAGTGTGTGTTGGCTTGCTTTGTCAGTCTGTAGTGTGCTCCACCCTCTAGTGGGTCACGCCTGCTCAGGGAAATGCCAATGGTTAGGCGGGCTATGTCGCACCCTGGTACCCGAAGATTTCAGGTTTGCGCTTACGGTCCTTTTCCCGGGAAGGCGCCATATCGTGCGGCCTCAAGGGCATGGGTGTAAGCGTGGTGTTCACGTAACTTTGTACAAGGAAAACAAAGAAAACAAAGAAAACTTTTTTTTTAAGAAGCTTGCGCCGCATGGGGTCATATTTTCTATTGCAAGTGGCAGTCCACGATCTTCGTGATGGGATCCACTCTCGTTTTTTTTCACCAGTGGCCGCTTATGCTTAAAAAGAGAGAGAAAAAGGGAAAAAGAAGGAAAAAAAAAAAAGGGAAAAAAAAGAAAAAAGGGGGGACCAAAGAAAGAAAAAAGGAAAAAAAGAAAACCAGTCCATGCCAAATGGGACGGTGGTGGATGGGGTGTGTTTCCTAACTGACTGTTTATCACACGCCATCAGACTCTGACAATTGCACAGGCGGCAGGGGAGGGGTGGGTGGGCTCATTCACCTCATGAGTCCCACGGCACCCCAGCCACCCCCCTGGGTGGGGGATCCAAAAAAAAAGGAAAATCCTACTCCGCCTCTTACCATTATTTGTACATGTGCTCATACTTGCGAGTGCAAGAGTATGTGCAATCTCCCATGGTAGAGAGAGAGAGAGAGAGAGAGAGAGAGAGAGAGAGAGAGAGAGAGAGAGAGAGAGAGCCCACCTCGTTCCCCCGCGGGGGAATGAGCGCGGGGCCTGATGCCTGGAGGGCGTCAGGCCATCCGCCATCCGACCCTCAGCCCCCACGGTCATCACTATATATCCGTATATATATATATAATGTATGTATATATCGTCACAAACAGAACTGCCCGGTAAACCGTAGGCAGAGAGAAAGAAGAGGACAACAAACGAGGGGCTGTGACAAACTGTTTCGTCGGAGTTTCAATGTATATATATATATATATATATATATATATATATATATATATATATATATATATATATAATGTATATATATGGGGATAGAAAAGAAGGAGAAAGAAGAAAAAAAGAGAGAAAAACAGGAGGGGAAGAAAAAGGAAAAAATGAAAGGAGAAGAGGAGGAGGAAGAAGAGAAAGGAGGGAGAGGGAGGAGAAGAGTGAGAGAGAGATACAAGTACAATGGTGCAAGACACCTGCTCACATGCATACGCCTAATGAGGTTGCGGTTCTATGGGTAGTATGGGACATCTCTCATTAGTGCCTGTTGTACTAGCCGGAACCCGTCTCGGCGCATGATCTGGACCAGGTCCTTCAACTGCCGAACAACATCATCTACCTCTGAGCACAGCAACAAGATCAGTGCAGTTTGCGCCGTGATGACTTGTAGGGATGAATTTATCGGTCTGTTCGATTTGAACTTGACATATCTATTGTCGTTCAGGCCAAGTGCCTTCTTCTTGTCATACCTCGAGGTCGTGTAACACCCTCCTTCATTCTGAACAGAGAGCATCATGTTTAAAAAAAGGCCACGTGACCCGATACCGTCTCAAAATTCCACGGTGGTCTCTTTTATCTCGATGTACTCCCGGGGGTAGATCGTGCGTGCCTCCTCGGAGGTGGGGCAGAGGTAGTCCCTCGCTGACGGGTTATTCAAAGTGCATAGGTCATCAATGAATCTGAAGGAGTATTTGAACTGGTTGGCTGCCTCATGAATTTCCCCGTTGACGTCATGAATTTCCCCGTTGACGAGGTGCATCATCATGTTAAACTCATATTTGAAAAAGAACACATCACACCAGATCGGGGAACAGGGGAGTCCCATAGGTATACCCAGGACCTGTTTCTAGACCCTGTCACCGAATTCGACAATGTTGGTCCTGGTCAACCATTCAGTCATCCAAACAATTTCTTTCGGATCGACGTATGCTACTTTTTCTTAGGTGGCGCCAATCCCATTGGCCCATGAGATTGAGACTTTTCCAGATCCTGTGTGTTTGATGCACAGGATCTGGGATTCATAGTCAGCACGTCGTTTGGTCATGGCGAAGAAGGCCACAGCATTCGTCAGGCCGTTATCCGAGTTATCAGTGGGGATGGTTTCAAAGCAGCGGGTAATATCTGCGGTGAAGATGGAACTCACCCGGTAGGGCAAGTTCGCATGGACCTCCCCGACCGAAGCCACGGGCCACCAGAGTGTAGTGTCCACGTCATATTGAGTCCTAATCCTATGCTGTTCATCCCCACAGTAGGCTTGTACCACTGGTACAAGGAAACGCAGAATCTCTGTACACACCTGAGCTACAGGAGTCAGTACACAGTCAGCAACATTGGTGATCCATCGAAAGGTTGTCTTGTGTGCCTTGTAATTACACATGAGATAGGGCAGGGAGAGGTTTCGTGGAGGGAGGGGAGGGAAAAAATCCGTGATCTTCTTATCCAGGATGATGGCCATGGACCTAGGTTCCTCATCAAGGGCCACAAACTCAGGCCCTGACAGCCGTTGGAGAGCCAGTTGACGGACAAAGTTTACGCAGACAAACGCCGGGGTGTTTTCACACTTGTCCGTAGGTGTGACGAATAACTTGTCAGTGAGGTGCTCGATGTCGCTGATCACATGGTGCTGGCTGAATTGCTCCCCAGGAATATGCGGATTTGCACTCATGAACTTGCGCATCTTCTCCCGGGCACCTCAAGGACTCCGTGGTGAGGAGTTCAAACTGAGGACTCTCCCTGATCAACGTATCAAAGGCCATCTTTACCTCTCGCACCGCTTCCTCCTCGTCCAATCGGTGAAGTGGGATGTGATTCAAGCCCATCCCCAGCATCCCTATGAGGGCCCAGGGCTTTATCCAAGGTAAGCACATGCGTCTGCGTGTTGTCGGTGAGCAAGTCAGCAGTCTTCTCATGGTGGAACTGTCGATATCGGTGATCGGCACATGTGCAATCTTCCGGTTTGTATTGCCGCATCCATTCCTCCAGCCGGAACTCATCGAACACCTTGGCCGGGTTGAGGATCAGGTTGGCCAAGGAGTGACGATACCTCCAACCAAACACCACGTCATCCAACCAATCCTTTGTGCCATCCCCCAAATGTGCCATGACACGTTCCTTGATGATCTGCCTGAGGGAGAAGGCCTCCATAACTCGGCTCGTAAATGTGAGATGCACATAAGTGAGCTTAGTTGAGTCCCTTTCTCTCCGGAATGTGCGTCGCTCATGCGGCAAGGGCAGTCCCTTGCGGGGGGAGATCATCCTGCACATATCCTCCTCATACACGCAAAATGAAAGGAAAGAGAAAAAGGAAGAAAAAAGAACAGAAGAGAAGAGAAAAAAACGAGAAAAAAGAAGATAGACAAAATGGGGGCGAAAGAAAGGAAAGAGGCAGGACAAGCTGAAAAAGGGAGCTAACGATCGAAAGAGGGGGGAAAAAACACCGATCCAATACAATCATCACAAACCAATGATTAGTATTGTTGAGCCCTCACTCACGAGGGCGGATTGCTAATCAATTCATCAAGGGGAAAATACCTCCGATGTATCCTGGTGTATGCGGGCGTGTGGCGGGCCTCTGTTGTAGAAGTGCCAGGCTGAGCGTCCGAGAGCTGCACGCTCTGTGCGGGCTGATTTCGGGCACCACCGTTATTATTCACGCGCTGAAAGCCAGCCCGTCCAAAGGGGATCAGCTGCTGGCCCCCCAAGGGAGCACTGTGCCTACGCTTTTGCTTGGCTCTGGGGTTCATCGGAGACCTTAAGTCCCGCTTTGTGGGGGAGATGGTGACCTTGTTTGGTAGCAGGATGCGGGCCAGTGCACCAGGGAGGTATTCATCACGGAGGTCATCATCATTGACAACCGAATTCGCTGTGTGATCTGGGTTCTCTCCCACCTTCCTAGCGATGATGAGCATGATGTCACGAATGTATATGAAAGTGACACAAGCCAGGATGACCGGCTTCCATGATGTGCGCAGGTAGTGGATCAGGAGCGTGATCCTGAGCTTGTTTGAGGACAGGTTCGGGAAGATGTACTCCGGATGGGCAAGGAGAAACCAGATCATGTGGTCACACCAGATTGGAACCCCACCACAGTCCTTCCCCTTATCAGTCTTACACCTACATCTCAGGTATGGTCTCCCGACCGACCACACCTTCCTGAGGTTCTTCATTTCCAGTGGTCCCAATGGGAGGAGATTTTTCTGGAGCATGATGGGGTCCGAGATGCCACATTTCCCTGGGTCAAGGATCGTGAGGTTCGAAAAATGGAGATCAGAGGGCTCAAAGTAGGTGCGCCTATTGGTCCCATATTTGATATTACCACCCATGGCGTCCCTCCAGCATGCCCTGATCTCTGTCTCCGTTAGGTTGCCTAGGAACCGAAAGGCCTTGATAGTGAGCGGGGCAAGATGATTGTACGTATCGATCTTCCAGACCGCATGTCTGAAAGCTGTGGACATGTACTCTACCCATCTCGCCGAGGGGAGGGGGCAGAAGGCCAAACCATCATTGGTTTTGTCCGGTTGTTTGTAGGACGCCTTGGCTTTACCACTAGATGTAGCGATGTTTTTTATCGCACCCAAAACCTCTGCCACCTCATCTCCCTGGGAGTTCAAACGATCTCCCAATCGACCTATCAATATTTCCCCCGGAGCTAACGCCCTGAAGGGGAGAGTCATCCAACTTCCAAATTTGTAGGAAGGCTTTCTCCATTCCTGCTACCCGGCCTGGAACCTCCACATCCTCCTTTTGGTCCAGGTCATGGTTTGTGCCAGTTTTTGCGGCAAAGTTATCCACGGCTGCCTCGAAGGTATTTGCGCTGTTATCCCATACCCAAGCGAGGATAGAGAGTTCAGCGAATCGTAAGGTGGTGAATAGGTGTGGGAATTTCCCGATGTCCCATCGGCGCTTAATAGCTGCCATGATGTCAGGTTTGATTGTGGCGATAAGAGCCTGAGTGGGTTTGCTGGGGTGGGCACAATCATTCAGCCATGGATAGACAACGATGATCTCTTCCCACCACCCTCCAGGGAAGGTTTCCGTAGGTGCGCCCTGTACACAAGAAAACAAGAGCATGGGGTTGCACACCAATAGCAAAAAACAAGCACATACCACTCCCTGCATCTCACCTCCCTAGTTTAATCGTCTCGTATCTGACCATTCGGAGAACTGTACCTTTACACCATAGCCTTCAATCATCAGCTCCCCAGAGGATGAAATCAGCATGAGCCTCCACTGGTGTGCTATGGCCGGGGGAGTCCACCACCCGACAGCGCTTACGGGGAGCCTGTTTTTGATGTGTGTGTTATGTGTGTGTTACATCATTCAGACGTGTATATGGCGCAGGATCTGACGCCACCGATCTCCGAGGAATTCCTCGGCACAACACAGACAGCAGGGCGTTCATGCTCATATGGGGGCAAACACGATGTATCAATAGAGTGATGCCATATCAGTTCCGAGCAATATCCAACGATTATAGAAGGACAAGGGGCCCTCTCGTCGACAATATCTCAAACAGATGGAGGGGGGGGAAAGGGAAACATGCACACAATACTACTCGACAATCTGATACTAGGCCGAGATCGTCATCCGCAAGGTATCTGATCCCCGGATTTCGGTATCACGAGGACCAGGTGCGCTGCTTCATGGGTAGGACAAACGAGGGCAGTATTTGGGCTCTGTCCTTCTCAAGACCATCTCGTACCAGGTACTGTCGCATACCCGACCCATATTTTCCTCGCGCGCTGATTGCAGTAGCAATCGTACATTGTGATGGGATGTACGCGTCGGGCGACACATTTCCCCTGGTCGAAGCATTAAAAGGAATCAGAGGGTGAGCCGAATGGGTAGGATGAATGAGAGCAGTATTTTGGCTCTGTTTTTTTTCAAAACCATTACGTACTAGGTACTGTCGTATGACCGACCCATATTTCCCATGCGCGCTGATTGCACCTGCAATCATACGTTGTGATGGGATGTATGCGTCGGGCGACACGCTTCCCCTGGTCCAAGCATACAAAGGAATCAGAGGGTGAGGGGAAT